GTAAGTTCCGACGCACGTACAGAGTTGGTCATCGTCGATAATTGGCTTACAGCTACTCGATACATCGAGGAAGTTCTTCAGGAGCACGTAATGCCTTATTCGGGATTCATTGGACACGACCAATTCCTCCTCATGCACGATAATGCACGCCCGCACGTCGCACATTGTGTAGAGGAATATCTGGAAGAGGTTGGAATACAAAAATTACAGTGGCCAGCTCGTAGCCCGGACTTAAATCCAATTGAGCATGTATGGGGTATGCTCAAAAGAAAGATAAAATCCAGCTCCAAACCGCCACAAACTCTAAATGAGCTCCGAAATGCAGCGCTGGCCGCTTGGGACAGCATACCGCAAGTTGATGTCAGAAACATCATTCAAAGCATGCCAGATCGAATGCAAGCGGTTATCAGGGCTAGAGGAGGAAACATAGAGGGAGGATATTAAAACTGATAGACAATAAAGAAACAGACTTAATTTTTAACTTTGTAGTGTTTTTAAAGTGACAATGGAAAGATGTTAATTTTAGTGAAAACATGTTATCTTGAAAAGAAAAATTTCGGTGAAGTAAACATTAAATTTCTATGTTCTAAAACCATTAGAGACACTTATTGAATGCCTATTATAATACCCTTAATTTACTGTTAAAAAAACGTTTCAGTGCAAATAATCAGCAAATTCACGAGTGGACAAGTTTCCGTGCCGGTGAGTGTATATACAAGAATTGCTCGTTTAAAGGTATAGGATTTAATAATTCGTTTATTTTTCTTTTCTTCAGTTTATTTCATTTCTATTGTACGTTGCACTTATCTGTCAAAATAAAAAAATCACAATTTCCTGTTACGTTCGGTTAATCAGGTAGAGATCGCTTAAAGCGACATGGCCGTTTGTAGTTGCACATAAGTTTTCGGTTATTGTAACTACTTTGTTTTAAATGTAGTAAAGAGTTAACTATTTATCTACCTACATAAGCGTAGCTTGTTTATGTATATTCTGTTGGTTGGTCTTTGTTATGTATATTGAGTTTCGGCCTTGGCAAGACAGTAACGTGACTCTAATACTGCGTCAGAATCTTCGTGTCAGCAGAACGAGGTATGAAGCTTTGTTATATTTGACATAACTTCATGCCAGTACAATAATAACGTCTGTCTTTCCACATATTAAATGATACTTGATCCTGTAGTGACGTATTTGCCTTCACTGCATTGAAGGCTGATGCTCTAACAGAGACGCAAGTTTGAAAACAGGTTTGTGGCACTTTGTGTTAAGTCGGATCATCCTTTCTTTGCTATTTAATTAATTATTTTATTTACTTGATTCAATAACGATCGTTCGTAACTTTTTGTATAATACAATAAAATCTATGTAAGTAATTAACTTTCATAGAATTTTATTTATTTGACGTTATTTAAATGTCAGATAGTCAAAGACTATTTATTTTAACAAATATTCGTTTGAAAAATAATCTTTAAGTCATTTTTTCTAATAAAATACCCTTTTCTGATCCTTCCAGGTATCGCTCTCTTCTGTTCGTAAAAATTTATCACAATAGGTCACGCCAATACTACGAAGATATGAAAAAAAAGGCAGACAGACCTTTTTTTAATTGGTTATTCGTGTCTTAATATTAACTTTAGAAATACGTTATTAAATGTTGTCGTCACTATGGTAACTCATCTGAAGGCCTATCCTGTACACACGGAGTTTTTTGAACAGAAGAATGTAGGCAACGCGTATTTAAAAGAGATTCAATCACAGCTTAAAATGAATCTTATACACAGTCACGAATTGAATCACGCATTATAGTCCACCAAATCTAAGAAATACCTTTTGATGTTTCACATTAATCATTCCGCAATAACTTTGCACCAGCGTACTCACAGGATTTAACCTTTTACGCAAATCCGAAGAATTATGGAGTTATCTATATTTCATTACAACGTGTATAGTTTTTTGTCACTAATTTAAATTTGAATTTTTCAAACAAAGCAAAATATTAAAAAATAACCAGTATTAACTTTTTTTACTTGACGTCGTTTCAATGATATGTCGCTATGTATATTACCGTAGTGCTTGGATGATTAAAATTCGTTGTTATGCGAATGATCGGCAAAATATTCAAATAATCGGTAAAAATTTTCAAATAATCGAATCATTAATTTTTTAATGCATTATTTGTTTAATTTAATTTTTATTTTCAAAATTCCTCAAATTACATGAATCATGAATAAAACAAGTTTATTTTTTTTTTACTTTGTCAAAGTAATTTGTGTAGGCAAAAAAATCATATACAAGGCCGTGCTAAAATAACCACTACATAATTTCAATATCCCCCCATTTCGGTACCAGTTACTCGACTCCACAGAGTCAGTAATTCATTCTTGGGGCGATTTACAACAAAATCCCAGAAAATATACGAAATTTGACGTCAGTACACATAGTTTAAAAACTTTATGAAACTAAGTTTGTATAAAAAGGGTTATTTTAATATTAAGGAATTTATGGATGATAATAACGCCTAGGAAGGGTGATCGCTACCAAGCTATTTCTAATTTGTATTGTGCTGTTAATTGTAACACGCATGATTGTAAGCTCTTATTTTTTTTTTAACTAGTCCCGTTGCGTTTATTGCTGGTTCTTCCCAGGACAAAAGTTTTTTTGCGAACCAGTGGTAAATGAAAAAAGTGACTTTCAATAAGTATTATTCATAATCTATATTGAATAAAAAAGTTTCTGTTTCTGTTTCGAGAGCTTACTGTGCGTAATTTTGTGATTTTTTGTTTGTCTTCTTATTTTGTGACTCGGTTTTAAACTTTTCGGACTGTTTCTATAATAACTTTTTGTACGTGGTAGAGCCACGCTACCTCTCTATTATAGTTGTAGCACGAATGGGTCGGCTAAACCGGGGCAGGACCACGCTCTCACAGAATACCAGCGTAAAATAGTAGCGTAATGCTGCTGTGTTTCGTATGGTGAGTGTAGAGAACCAAAGACTCTTTTTACTGGAATCAGAATCAGAATAGTTTATTTGTCAAACATAGGTAGGTTTAAACATTGAAGGTCTTGCGAGGGTTACAATTATTAGTACGCTATGTTTTGTCTTAAAGACATACAAATATAAGTGTATATTCGTATGAGAATCATGCCATAAAAATAAAATAGAATAAAAATTAATGAAATTGTAACACCAATTAAGATTCTACATTGATAAAATTAAATAGATGAAAAAAACAAAATAATATAATTAGTCAATATAATTTAAAGTTAATGTAATTAGTCAAAATTATCATTCAAGAAATCGTCAATTTTATAATAACATTTGTCTATTAATAATTCATTAAGCACTTTCTTAAATTTAAATAAGTTCATATGTTTTATTGTATCAAGTAGTTTATTATAAATTCGTGGGTTGGAGGAATCAAGGCATTCCATCTTAAGCCTCTGGGGTGACAACGCATTTGCATTTTGATTCTGAATTGAGAATAAATATGTATGTCTATGGGCCATAGCATCCACTTAACATCAGGTGGACTGTGTGCCCGTCTGTCACCCAATGCTATAAAAAAATATTCGTTGAAGCATGTGCCCATGTCACAAAGGATGATTGGGCAAAAGTGGTTGAAAAAACAAAAAAAATTATTATGGATGACTTTGAAAGAGACATTAATTTTGTCTGCATTATTAAAAATCTAATAATAATTAATATAAACAACTACATATCTACTAGTTTTACTGAAAATGATTGAATAAATTTATTTTTAATCTATTTTCAATCTTAAAGTTTTGTAACTGTGCCTTTAGAAATAAGCAGTAACAACAAATACGAAGAAACTGATAAATCTTGTGTTTTAAATTAAATTTATTCTGGTATTATTCAAACCAAACTAAATGATTACCAACTCTAAATAATCGATATCGATTTTTTAAAGAATCGAATATTGTACGTTCCCATTTTTTGGTTCGCATACTTGGTGCAATAAATCTGACAGCTGTCAAAATGTATTTCTTAGATTTGGTTGATTATAGTATCGATTGAAACAAGCACATACGTCGATTTAGACGCGCTGTGGTCACACGTTTGAATCGATATCGAAATTACGTTTTGATATCAGTACTATGGCATCGGTCGCGAAAATAGTGATTAAGCAAGCCTTTAAAAGTATTTATAATTAAAAAAAATTAAGAATAACAAAAAGATTTAGACGAGATTTAAAAGCACGTTCTTGAGGTGCGCGCTGTCTGTGCGAAGATAAACGCAATGTACAACGTCCTGTTACGTTCGGTTTATTAATAATAAAAATCTTATAAGGCTAATTTTATATTTTTTTTTGATTAGTACTCGTATTATGAAAGTATGACTTTAACCAATATTTACAAAATATATATTTTCTTTTACATTTCTTTATATATTCTTAATGAAAATTATATACAATTCACTTTTAAAAAATACTTTTAAATGCAGCCTGTAACTGTACATTTCAAAAAGCTGTAATTAATATAATTATCATTTCATTTGCTAAATTTAAACTACGTTTTAATTACTAACGTTAACTATGACATCATGACGTTGAAAACCGCAGTCCTTATGTGAGTATGGGTACTGCAAAGCACTCGAACTCGAAACGTTGGAATGAAATATGAGTTAAAATAAAACGCGGTAAAGCCCGTAAAATTAGTAATTTTATTTACTTTTGAGCTAAATTCTTTATATGTTTTGAATATTAGTGTTTAGTATATATTCGATTACGGAATAAATGTGTATTCCCAGCCAGAAACCACCTTGAATTTGTAACGATCGCGTGAAAGAGCCTTTATAAGAATTCCTTGGGGTGACAGTTCAAGTTTTCGACAGCCTTTGGGGTTTAGGATGAATGTTTTAAGTAGAACATTCTGAAAGGTTATTTTAAGCACGAGAACCGAGAAATAAAATTGAATAATTTTTCATGATTTTCTCTGTTTCAGGTGAACTACAAGTCTTCTGAAATTACTTTTGAAGTTAGACGATGACTGATAATAGTAAAAAGCGGACTAGTAGTTTTCGAAAAATATTCCCAAGTTTATTTTTTTCGCATCGCTTAAAAGGCAAAAATGCGAATAAGGATTTGGAATCTAGACATAAGAACATAGTAGACAGGAACTCAAATTCAAATCAGTATCAAAATCCCAGGTTCATTGTAGATCAAAATAGAGTTGATCAAGTTACTGAAGACAATAATGAACGCATTTATGAAAATCTGTCAAAGCCACATCATTCCCAAAATAAAAATAATGAAGTACGTATCATTGAGGTTTCTAGCAATCACTCCTCAAGTAGTACATTAGTCTCAGAAAAAGCGGGAAAAAATAATGACGAATCCGATCAAAATACAAATGAAAAGGTCAACGCTGGTTACATGGCTAGGCCACAAGTACCACCAAAACCACAAAGTAAAGTAATAAATTCTCCACAATTCACACATCATGAGTTCAATGATTTTGAAAACCAGAGATACCCCGATGTTTACTACCATTCATTAGAAAAGTTAACAGATAAAATATCCCCTCTTGATGAAATTGAAATTTACAAGGCATCAAAAGCTAGAGCAAACCCCGCTTCAGTTGGTGCAGAAATTAAAAGAGTTAGTACGAAATTTCTTATTTCACCAAAAAAAGAAGCTGAAGTAAGAACCATACAACCGACAAGGGCTCGAAGTCTTTCCTTGGATAAGGAAAAGCCACGTAATGCTTTGCAAACAAGCGACGAGCACGGAAAAAACGAAGAAAAAGTTAAAAAACCTTATAACTATTCCGCTCCTACATCTCCAATTGCTGTTACACATAAAAGGCCTAATATGCCTAAAACTGTATCCCCTTACGAACATGTGAGAAAGACTATGATAGAAACTGAAGAAAAAAGAAATTCTTTAAGTAGGACCAGTGTTCGTAATAAATCTACGCCCTCGCCAAAATTGTACTTAATTACGTCAACACCTTCGACACCAATTAGTAATAGAGATATCCCTAAAGTTGATGATTTAAGCGGGAAAGAGAAAACGCGTCAGAAAGTTGAAGCTTTCTACTGGCAAAAACTTAAAGAGCTAAAACAAAAAGAAGACGAATATCTTTTGCGGCAATCAATGAATAATGACATAAGATCGCCATCCAAGCAAAATGCAACATTTCATTCAAATTCCAGTTGCAGCTCGACTAATTCCTTCGTCATCGAACCTAGAAGTTATAGTTTACCGAGAGGAAGGGACCTAAACTATAGCATGACTCAACAAATTTACGCGCTTCCACCTTTTGCGAGAGGCGCTCCAGAGAGGCGGACTGATTCATTTATACGAAATCGCACGAACGCCGCGGGTCCGGACGTTGTGTTCAGACACCTGGATAAATCGAGTTTAAAAACTATATCGGCCGCAGTTAACAGACAAATGCCAATTTTTCAGCGTGGATCTTTAACGCAGGAGGCAAGAAATAATATGCAACAGCCAAAAAGAGTGAGTTTTGAAGAACAGTTCTCGGTCAAAAATCCTTCTTGTGAAAGTGGAATTGCAAAAAGTGTCGCGTTGGATGTAAAGTTATCAAACGACAGTTATAAAATATTGAGTGCCAGAAGAGCAATTCAACTGAATAAAAAAAATAGTGATATATCCCCGGGCTTGCACGGAGGTCCGCCACAACCTCCAATCCGGACCACCAGTGTCGGTAGTGTCGGAAAGAATTTTAAAATAGTAAACAATAAAACTATTTATTTAGGCGGCAATCCTTCAATATGTTCAGAGTCTGAAAGTGGTTCAGAAGCTGGCGAAATACAGAGGATATTGCACAGATCATCACAGAACGGTAAGTTATTAATGTTTTTTTATGTTTACATTTTGTATATATTTCATGTGCACTTCATTTTAGTTTGTAATAAATGAAAGAAACACCACGTAACACAAATGTTCTGTTTTACATAATACTGAAACTTCAGTACGATGAAATGGATTTATAATTATTGCACAGCGGGACATTGCTCGTAATAAGCGCGTACAATAGTACATCGTCAAAATAACAACCATAGTGGATATGGATACAAAATTATATTTCCGTCGCTGGCTGTATTTCATTATGAATATTTTAATATCATCAGTAATAATCACAATAATTTTGAAGTGGTCTTTGTAACTGAATTTTCATAATAAATATATGATCTACATACTAAGATTAATATAATAATACATACTAAGATTAATGTAATCGCATCTTTATCTCAATAAATATACACTATTGAGATAAAGATGCGATTACAAAATTATTTAACACTAAATAATAAGTATATTATGTAGAACCTTATTTCAAATCATTTCCATTCTTAAAATTGTGTCGAAAGAAAACATTTTTGTCCGTATATTGACTTTATCAACAATAACGTACCTATGCGCCAATTTGAACACGCATGCAGATAGTGTTCATTGTTTATTATTAAAAACTGAAGAAATGTGTTAAAAGAAGAGAAAAACACCTTATTTCCTTTATAAAGTAGATTGCTTCACTCTCCGTATGTAGTAATCATGGTTTACGTTAGTGGAGTGTTTCTGCAGCTAAAAATAAAACGAAGCAACATCGCGATCTGGACTAGCGATTCGGGTCAAGTGAATAAATGTCGAGCTTACATTTCAGATGAGACCGTAGTTTATTAGACATTGACTGGACTGTGTCTTCTACGTTTATTAATCTCAGCTTAAAATTCTTATTTAATAAAGGTTTAAATTTATTTAACATGGGTTCTTTGACACAAATTAAATATTTTAACTTACGTAATAAAATCACCGTGTGTGGGGCGGTGTAGGAATATCAACTACTCCACATAGTCCCGTCGGTGTTATAGGAGGTGATAGAGGCAAACTAACCGGAAGATGTGTGCAGTGTCTTCGTAATTACAACTACAAAATAAGTGGTAAAAATTAAAAAAAATTATACAACCGACTTCAATATAAATAAAATAAGAACATTATCAATATATAACTTAAAAACTACTGGTTTTTTTTTTTTTTTTTTTTTTTTTTTTTTTTTGCGCCCGAAGCAATTAAAGGGCTACCCTGTACGTAGGGAGGCGGAAAATGCATTACGCATACCACGATAGCCGGTCTATCGTGGTTATGGGGGGACTCACTGTCCTACCGGGGACCCTAAGTGATACCCCTAAAAACCGCCTTTAGGGACAGGCAACCGGCTGATTAAGCTCTATTGTGCCTTATCATGAGCGACCCTCTTTTGGGAAAAGAGGGCGCAGGCGGCTAAGTGCCGCTGAGGGAGTGCCTACGAAGGCAAACTAATGTCAGATATTACAATAATTTTATTTAATTAGAGTTGGCCTGAGCTGCCAGGAGACAGTTCAGGTCGTTTGAAAGTTTATTAGGCGGGTCCGAGAGAGAGTTTCTCGGCCTGCGGACACGATAGCGAGAGGGGGGGTGGGGCTGCATAAGAAGCTGCCTCACGAATTAAGTGGTTTGGGTGCGACTCTGAGGCTTTGAAGAAGTTCTCAGAGAGTTTTTTAAGAAATTGCTGAATTGTTGGGAGCTCTAAGTCCCGATGAAGGTCGGCATTGCGGACGTACCACGGTGCGTTCGCAGCTCGACGACAGAATAGGTTCTGAACTATTTGGAGTTCATTTAAAATGTTAGGGTTTGCGTGGGCAAAGACGGGGCCCGCGTAAGACATGACTGGTCGTATACATACCTTATAGAGTGTACGCTTGTTTCGAAGGGACATTTTACTGTGTCGGCCCAACATACTGTTGAGCCTACTCAGATAAAAACGTGCGTGACGGGTTACTCTTTTGACGTGGGGCTTGAAAGTGAGCCCTGTGTCTAGAGTGACACCTAAATATTTGGCGGACGTATGCCAGGGGACAGGGGTCCCTAGCATACGTATTGGTGGAGTGTTTTTGAGACGGCGTCGTTTATAATCGAAGTGAACGGCGGAGCTCTTCTCCGGGTTCACATCGATGCGCCATTTTTTGAACCAAGCTCCTAGGTCATCAACTGACTTTTGGATCTTGTTCCGTATGAAGGGTAGTGAGACACCTTTGCAGTAGATGGCAGTGTCGTCTGCAAAGAGGGAGAGTTGAACACCTTTCGACGGGATGGGAATGTCGTTGGTGAATATGATGTACAGCAGAGGAGCAAGTACTGAGCCCTGAGGGACACCAGCCTTGATAGTTCGCTGTGAAGAGAGCGTGCCTTCGTGTCTGAAACGAAAGGTACGATGTTTTAAATAGGAGGCCACGAGACGAACTAGACGATCGGGGAGACCTATTTTATAGAGCTTGTAGATAAGGCCTGTGTGCCAGACTCTATCGAAAGCTTTGGCTATATCGAAAAAGACCGCGATGGTCTTATGACGACGAGGATAGAAACCGCTGAGGATATATTCCACAATGCGGTGAACTTGTTGGGGACATGAGTGTTTGGCTCGGAAGCCGAATTGATGGGGAATGATAAGAGGGTCGCCGTCTGTGGGAAACAGGTAGCGCCTCATACGACTTTGGATGACTCTTTCGAAGAGCTTGCCCATTGCCTTGAGGAGGCTAATGGGGCGATGGCTGGAGGGGGAGGTTGAGAGGCTTGCCTGGCTTGGGAATTCCAATCACGGTAGCCTCTTTCCACGTAGTGGGAAAATAACTAAGGTTGAAGCAGGCGTTGAAGATAATAGATAGAAGGGTTAACACCTGCTCGGGAAAGTGTTTGAGGGCTTGGTTGGAGATGCCATCCGCGCCCGGAGCCTTTTTAGGCTTAAGTCCTTTGATGAGGGATGAAATCTCATCATTGGACACAGAGATAGGTTCGGAGGCGGTAGGGGGTGAGTTCCGGCGGCGGACCTCATCCTCTACTGCCTGGACGTGTGAGGGGTCAACAGGTTGAGAACTAGGGGAGCATTGATCGGCAATGCTATCCGCAAAGCACTCAGCCTTCTCCTCGTCCTCGAAGGCAACCGTGCCGTCGGGACGGGAGAGAGGGGGAGTGTGGGTGATAGCGTCTATGCGGAGGGCTCTAGCCATCTGATAGTACGCTGTGTGAGATGGAGTGATATTCTCCATGAGCTTACTCTTTTCGAGATCTTGAAATTCAGAGAGGCGGAAGCGGAGTTTTCGTTGAAGACGATTGGCCGCGCGCCTATATTCGGGGGTGGGATATTTTGCTGCTCTCCGGAAAGCAGCTTTTTTGGCTTTTAATAGGTTGCTAATATGTAGGGGAAGCCCACTATTGTTAGCAACCGGGACGACCCTTTCGTTCTCCTTAAGGGAGGATTTAATAAGGGTGGAGAGTGAGTCGACCGCGGTGTCGATTTTTTCGGGACTGTCTAAGTCCGACGGAATGGAGATGGTAGAATCCTGTGAGTCCAGAGCTTTAGCTAGGGACTCCTTGAATCCCTTCCAATTAGTGAAGGTTTTTGTGTGTATTGGGGGAGGTGGCTGATGGCCAAGAATGAGGGAGACCGGTCTGTGATCTGATCCTAGATCGTCTAGTGTCTCGATTGCTCTGAGGTTGAGAGAAACTCCTTGGAGTAACGCAAAATCTAACACATCGGGAGAGTGATCGGTGTTATCGGGAAAGTGAGTAACACCGAGAGGACTATGGACAGTGATATCAAGAGACTGCGTGATATCGAGCAGTATCTTGCCACTAGGGGACGTAGTGCGGCATGTCCATTCAGTATGCTTGGAGTTAAAATCTCCAAACATAATGACTGAATTGCCCAAGGATAAAATGGCTTCAAAATCTTTTTTGAGGGGATAGGTTCCTGAAGGGATGTAACAGGAGGCTATGAGGATGGACTGATGTCCAGTCATAGCTAGCTTGCATACCGTGGCTTCCATATTGGTAAGCTGCGGAGTAGAAATGGGCGAGCAATGAAGTGTCTTCTTGTAATAGATGGCCGTTCCGCCGCCTCGGCGGTCGGGTCTGTCATTACGAAGAAGAGAGAAGTTTCTAATAGAAAGGCCTCTAGTGTCCTTAGTTTTAAGATTAGTTTCCTGTAGGAGGAGGAAATCGACTTCATGATTTCGAAGAAAGAGCTTTAGCTCTGGGAGGTTATTTCGCAAGCCGCGAATATTGAATGATACAAGCGATAAACCCTTAGGTTTGATACGACCGTGGGATCTTGGTAGGTTAGTATTATTATCAGCCATTGAAGTTAAGTTAATTAAGTTAACTTAACTTACAACAGAGCAAGCAGAAGATCATTGTGTTCCGCAAGAGCGATGAGACGCTCTTGGGGGGACTTCGCCGCGCGCAGTTTGCGTGAGATTACTGTAATCTCCCTAACATCTATATTCCTAATCGCGGAATATAGTGTGTTGTAGTCATCAATTGTGGGCTCTGCCTCGTGTGCGTACGAGGTTGTCCGCGGAGGGTCTGCCTTTTTGGGCCCCCAGGGAAAGACTGGAGGCTGCATTGGCTTTGAGAAGCCCGGAGGGGGCCGAATTATGCCCTGAGGGGGCCTAGGGGGACCCTGAGGGGGGCCTAGGGGGGCCCTGAGGGGGCCTGGGGGGACCCTGAGAGGGTCGAGGGAAGCCCTGGATAGGCTGAGGAGGGCCCTGGCGGGGCCGTTGTTGGAGGGCCGGGAATGAGCGGTCATTCACCGGCGGTGGAGCTTTCCTACTGGGGCGAGGTTGAGGTGCGCGTGGGCAACCCTTGTAGTTCGCCGGGTGACCTGTCTGGTTGCACAGGACACAGGCGGGCGGGGATTCGGCGTCTTTGGGCCGGGGACACTCTTTGGTGTTATGAGGCTCCAGGCACTTCACGCACCTGGGTGGGGCGGAGCAGTTGGCCGCCGCGTGACCATAGAGCTGGCAGCGGTGGCACTGCGCCGGGAAACCGGGTCTGTGTGGGGGCTCAACCTTCACCCTTGACAGGCCGCACACTGTGCGCACCTGCCGGAAGATGGCTTTCGCCTCCGGCACGTTGGACAGGATTATTAGGGCAAGGTTGTACCTCTTGCCCGTACGGTTGTGCATTTTGTGCACTGCTTCAACCGGGAAGCCTTGGGACTTAAGGTCCTCAAGTATCTCCTCGTTGGAGAACTCAAATGGGACGCCTCGGATGACGGCCCTGACTTTACGCTCTTCGGGGAGAGCGTACGTGTGGTAGGATACCCTTTCGGCTGTGAATAGCCGGGTAATTGAGCGGAAGTCCTCGATGGAGCTAGGGATGATTTTAATGGCCTCCGCGAGGTTGACTGCATGGTCATATTTGATGCCTGCGTCGTAGCAGGTCTTGGATAGCTGGGTGAATTTAGCCTTGTCTCTTAGGAAGACAGGAGGCGGGACTTGCTTCTTCGCCAGCACTGGGGCACAGCGAGAGGCTGGTTTAGATGGGGTAGGGATGTCTAACGACATCAGTGGGACGGGGGCAGCGTCAGGAGCTGCGGAGGTTGATGGAGCGGCAGGGGCCGCTGAAGTAGGGGGTGCGTTTGATCGCAGCGCGCTTTCCGTTGCGCTTGGAGGTGACCGTGGTGAAGTTGGATTCATCGGTACCTTCGGAGTCAGAGGACTCCGATGAACCGGAGCCTCGGGTAGTGGCGGGCCTCTTCCGAGAGGTAGACGCCGAGGATTCGGAGCATGCGTACTCCATTTCTAAGGGGGCTGTCTGTAGAGGGGCAAAAGAGTTCCTCGTTTCGAGGTATGCCGCTAGTACTGGCGGTGGACGGTGTGCCTGAGGGGCAGGGAGGGGAGCCTGGGCGGCGATGGTGGCCATGGCGGCGAGGACCGTGTCATTGTCGTTTAACCCGTATTGGGTAATGAGGGCGGCTAGGGACTCACTAAGGCTGGAGTTGGCCATATTGGGTTGATTGAGATAAGATAATCTAGTAAAGAGGAGGTTGGGTCCCTGCTCTCGGTAGAACAGGGACTAGAACGCGAGACGTACTACAACACACTATGCACGCAATAGTAGAAGTACAAAAAAAAAAAAAAAAAAAAAAAAAAAAAATTGAAAAATTATAATGAAAAATTATAATGAAAATGAAAAAGAAAATGAAAATAGAAAATGAAAAAAAAAAAAAAAAAAAAAAAAAAAAAAAAAAAAATGAAAGCGGAGGTCAGTCAGACCTCCCTGCCCGAAGACAGGGGGGTAAGAGCTGTAGCACAAAAGTGACTCACCGGCAGCCTCGACGCTGTTCCGCGTGAGCAGGACAGCGGAGGCGCGTGAGAGCGCGACAGCACTACCGTACTGTACGGGAGCGCGGACCACCAGGAGGCGACCGTCCGAGAGCGGTGCCGCCGGCGGACTGAGCACTGCGTCAGCGCTGTACAGCGCGAGCGGGACAGCGGGGGCGCGAGAGCGGGGAGCACTACCGTACAGGAACGAAAGCGCGGACTACCTGGATGCAACCGCTCGGAAGCGATGCCACAGGCGGAATGAACTACTGGTCAGATCTTGACCAAATTTATATAGAACCACACTGGAACCACCAGCTTCAGAATCATCAAAATCAGTTCAGCCAGAAAATAATTCAGAGGTGACACACATAGAAAAACATACAGTCCAATTAAAGAGACCCGATTTCAACCATAGCCGCATCGGCAACTGTCTCACTTAGGAGGCAATCTCTGGGGAAGTTTATACTCAGCTGTGGACTTGGATAGGCTGACATGAATGAATGAAATAAAACTATGAAATGGGAACCTTTACAAATTTAGTAATAAATAGATTATTCATATTAAAGTAAAAAAAAACTCAAAAGAAAGTAATTGGCAATCGCTGTTAATTCCCTATTGAAGAATTGAAGAGGAAAATAACAGTTTTCAATATTTTAGCGTAAGTTCTTCCTTTGTCAATTTCTATGATATCCACAGAACCTCAGACTGGAATACCTTAAATTAAATAGTAAATATAAAACACTATTGCACTTAAAAGCTATTCAAAAAGAATAACAAAGATAATTTTAAATGTTTGCTTTCCAAATTTGCAAATTAAGTCCGATTTGATTATTAAAAATACATCAGATTCTCCAACGCCGCTAATAAATAAGGCTTTAGATTTAGGACAACAATAATAGATCGGAGAATCGAAATAATCAATCAGTACAATCAGAATCAGTATTAATATCCTCTGAGACTAACTACCTGTGTAGGACAGGATTATAGTGCACAGGTGTGTGAGTAAACACAGGCGCACTTTCTATTCCCTCCCTTTCATATTAACGATGGGGCGGAAATCAGATACGACCGGAGAAAGATTAGGTGCGAGAACAACGGCTTTACGCGTTTAAGTATCAGGACTTTAGAATAACCAAGGCCTAAAAGTGGCCCCAATCCACTGGAGACAAATGAATAGCTATTACGACCAAGGCGATATTAGCTTTGTTACTACATGAATAAAAAAATATTTATATTACAATGACATCATGAAAGTATTTGAGAGTACGTAAAGAATTAACTGTTTTATATTCATGTTGTCTGTCAGAAACGCAGCTTATACGTGGGTGTTCTGAAAAGTTTCCGACCTAACAATGATACTTATTTTTATCGTAAAATTTATTTGTATTTTCCTACATAATCTCCTTGTCTCCTACACACTTCTCTCTACCCCGTCTACATAGCACTCGGCGCTCTTCTATGCAAAATAATTGTCACGAAGGCGATTGCCTCCTCATTTGACGAAAATCTCTGTCCTCCGGGCGCAATTTTTAGATGAATGAACAAAAGAAATCGTTTAGTGCTAGATCTGGTGAATAAGGCAATTAATTTATACGTATAATGGTGTCCGGGTTTCATCTACACTAATTAATCGGCGCCATAACTCGGATTTATTGCGCCTAAACTGCGCCAACCGAACGTTGGAAATGTTCATTCGAACTCGGTTTTGGTCTAACGTGAGCAAACGCTGTGCCAAATGGCAGTGCATGCATTGTTGTGTTCAGATCTGAAGGTTTAGAATACAGGACAGTATAATAACAGGCGATGAGGCATTCTATCTTGGTCCTCATAGGTGACAACGCGTTTATAGCCCTCTTTATTTGAGGTTGGTTTTAGGTTTCTAGTGCAGCAGCAACTTATCATCAGGTAGGCTGTAAGATTGTTTGTCACATCTATTTAATAAAACATAAATTTAAAAAAATCACTGCGCTACAGAGCCGTCAAACAAAATGAGAATAGATGATGCTCATACTCGTACTATGCTCATTCTATTGCCAATAAAGAATGGTTTAAAGGGGTTTGGGGATACGTGTTTTATATATATAACGAATAGCCTATAATATACATAATTTGTATTTTAGGCAGTAATAACGATACTACATGAAAAACCCTTGCGGTGGTATGACGCCCAATAGCCGGCGCAGTTAAGTTTAGTATGGTCATATTTATTCATTACTAACTTTCTATTACAAGGATGCGTCCATGTTTTGTCCATGTAGTTCGTCCATTGACAACCATTGAAGTTTTCGTTTGCAGAATGACTGCGATTTATGTTTATTTCAATCGATTTATTCCAAATTTAGGTAATAAACAATGCAGTTTGAAAACGTAAAAAATGTTTTTTAAATAAAGTCTCTTATTAAATACGTTTATAAATACTTTCTAATAATATTACGTGTCGCTGGGTTATTAGATCGTGATTACCTCGTTGAATGTAAAAGAAGACAAAACGAAAATAAAAGTCGGATCATCTCTAATGAAAAACAAATTAACAATGGACTAAGGTAAGAAAATAGTACATACTACTACGATACATTGTAATCGCGGTATACGCGGTGGTATACGTGGATCTTAGGTAAGTAATACATTTTTAACATCCTTGACATTTATATTTATCTTTTCGTATCTCATTGAGCTGTTGTATGACATGCCAATTCGACGACGATTATGTGTGTATACTCGTAGCATGCAGTATGAAAATAAATAACTGTAATCAATCACCTGTAGATAGTTTTCATATCATTCGCAATAATCGACATAATTAAGCTAGGGACAGACTAGTCCCACGTCTATATTACGCGTGCGAACATCTCCTCTATCTTCCCACGCCGATCTGGACATCTTAAGTCGACGTAGACGACGTTCGAAATCGCATTACCTACGTTAAGCCTCTTCCTAATGCATAGTTTTTCGTACAAAAACAAAGAGTCCAGATGTCATAATGCGTTGCGTACGACGAAAAAGACCATACATGCATGACAGCTCGTACATGCCACGCTGCATTACCGCTTAAGGCCCGCCTAATATAACACACTATTCTTACAAAATATCAATAAACACCGCCAAACTGTAAATTTATTGACATGACCAATTGTTTGATCTTTTTGGCCCGACCAGGGATTCGAACCCTATACCTCATGGTCAGCAGATGCGCTTAAGCCCAACAAGGCAGTCAAAGACTCTCAGTCGATATAAGATAATCTTGATAAGCAAGGAACGGCTCCGGCGACCTTTTTACGTAACTTCTATCATATCATACATAATCCTACTGTTGATAAATGCAATAAATCAAAAGCAAGGACACATCATGACCTACCTCGAATTGGGTGTCTTTTTTATATTGTAGAAATAAGCAATTTAACAATCTGTATTTCTGAATTACACTACATGATGTTTTTATCATACTCGTAGTTTCGACACAATGTTTTTAACACGTTTTCAAATCTATTTATCTATCTATATATGTAACAGAATCTTATAATGTAATTTTCACCAACTTGAAGACGACCAATTGACTTGAAAATTTGTACTCGTATCAAGAACCGATGACAGTTCAATATTTTAATAACTTTATCCTAGTATCTAGTATAGTAAATCTCTCTTCTCTAATTGTTTGTTTCGCTATATTTTCGTCAGTTGTCTCTATTTTGATGGCTGTTTTTATAAAATAGGTTACACTTAGATCTATGTGGCATCACGCCATATAATTTTTTAAATAAAATTCCACGCCTAATGCTGATAAAATAGAATGTTAAGTTTTGATGTAACTGGCATTGTGATATTGTTCACTTAAAAGGGTAAAAAACTACTTTATTAAAAAGTAAAACCTACACCAAAGGAATGAAAATGCTTAATCATTTCATATTCCGATGTCGGGGCTTTAATTAGCCTGTTTCTTCTGAAGATTTAAAAAAGATCCGCTAGAGGCATCAATAGTGAGGGTGAGGGGCTGGGGGGTGGTACATAAATGTTTTAATTTCCCTATTGACAGTAACGTTAAACGTACATACATTATAAAACTGGAATTAACACGAGATAATGTATCCAGAGCAGAATTGAAATAGCAAAAATTCAAGATCATCTTGTCCGAGATTTAAAACGATGGCTTGCATGCTGTCGTTTACCTGTTTCTGGTAATAAAAATGTACTCGTAGAAAGGTTAGTTGTCGGTGACGGTTCGTTTTATTTGTTATCAGAGATTTAAATCTTTCATTTGTACATATTTACGTTAATGCTACAATTTTTAATTTTAGAATTGAAGAATGCGTTGCCAATGGTAATCTATTCATACGAGTATAATAAATCAGCAGAAAAATAATTTGTTCACGATTCACGCAAAAACTAGACTAGAGATTAGACAGATTTCCATGAAATTTGGTTTGTGGGCAATAAATAATCGCGTATAACATATAGGCAGCTTTTGTCCGCTTACGGAAGACTAAAAAAAGAAGGGTTATGTTTTAATTTTTTTAAGTTTATTGTCATAATAATGGTTGTGGTGGTCTATTAGACATAAAGAGGGTGTGGCTAAAAGTAATACGTTAAATGTGTCTATAGAAAAGTGTGTGTGTGAAAATGAAACTCATCGCGTAACCCACCAGAAAGGGCAAAATAACATCTGCCGGACCAGCTAGTGATAAAATAATTTTTATCGGAATCGATGACGGTACTATATGTTTAGAGGATAAGCAGCTACGCATGAAATTACTCAATCCGGTTCTACAGACATTTCATTCTTCAAATTGGGTAGTTTTCCCTACCCGTATTATTCCTCGTACTTTTTGTTATGCTACAATATATAAAAGAAAGTTATCCTAATTGTGGAAACTCAAAAGCACTGCAAAGAGGAAGGCAATATTATTTAAGTGATTTTGCTTTAAACATTAAGGGTAATGTGACTGATAAGAGTTATTACTTAAGAACGGATCAAAAATCTTCTTTTTTTGCGCCCGAAGCAAATATGGGCAACCCTCCGGAAAACGGGGGAGGGAGGTGGGGAATGCTCATAGCATACCACGCAGCCGGCTGCGTGGTTATGTGGAGACTTTTACCCACTAAACCCCACATTTTAGGGACTGGCTTAACGGTCTAACTAGAGATCTCTAAGCCGTATACGAACGCGACCCTCCTTGGTAGAAAGGAGGGCGCAACCGGCGAAAAGCCGCTTAGACGAGTGCCTAACTAAGGCAGATTAAGGGATGTGTTATGTAGGCTCGGCCTGAGCCGCCAGGAGGCAGTTAAGGTCAGCCAAAAGCTTGTTGGGGTGGGGGGGGGGTCCGAGAGAGAGTTTCTCGGTCTGCGCACACTATAGCGAGTGTGGATAGGGGCTGCATAGGCAGCTGTCTCACGAATGAGATGATTTGGGTGGGACTCTGAGGCTTTGAAAAATGTCTCAAAGAGTGATTTAAGGAACTGCTGGATTGTTGGGAGCTCTAAGTCTCTGTAGGTCGGCATTACGGACATAATAGGGCGAGTTAGTGGCCCTACGACAGAATAGATTTTGAACCATTTGAAGTTCATTTATAGCTTTGGGCTTAGCATGTGCGAAAATGGGGGCCGCGTAGGTCATGACAGGTCGTATGCAGACCTTAACTCGTATAGGGTTCGCTTGTTGCGGAGGGACATTTTACTGTGTCTGCCCAACATGCTGTTGAGCCTACCCATGTAAAATCGTGCGGTGCGAGTAACCTTCTTGATATGGGGTTCGAAAGTGAGCCTTGCATCAAGGGTGACGCCTAAATATTTGGCTGTAGTTTGCCACGGGACAGGGGTTCCTAACATCCTGATTGGCGGAGTCGTGGTGAGACGGCGTCGTTTATATTCGAAGCAAACGGCAGAGCTCTTCTCCGGGTTTACGTCGATACGCCATTTTTGAAACCAAGCTCCTAAGTCGTTTACTGACTTTTGGATCTTGTTCCGAATCTGTGGCAGTGAGTTGCCTTTAGAGTAAAGGGCTGTGTCATCTGTGAAGAGGGCTAGTTTAACACCATTCGACGGGATAGCGATGTCGTTGGTGAATAGTATATATAGGAGGGGGGCAAGCACAGAGCCTTGAGGGACACCGGCTTTGGTTTGACGAGTAGAGGATAGCGTGCCTTCGTGTCTAAAGCGAAAGGTACGATCCTTCAGATAGGAGGCTACAAGGCGAACGAGACGGTCTGGGAGGCCTAAGTCGTACAATTTGTAGATAAGGCCCTCGTGCCAGACTCTGTCGAATGCCTTGGTAATGAAATCTTCTTTCAGAGCAACTGTAACTTATAAAATAAGCGTAGCTCTTAATAATTATAGTAGCAAAATTATTACTGCTTAGTGTCAGTGTTCAGCATCTGTTTCTAAGAACAGTTTCCATACCATTGCTGTATTGAATCCACTAAAAACACTTTTTCGCGTCAACTTCAGGTTTTATAACGCTACAAATGTTATACCATCTTGCTTGTATCAACTATCAGAAGTGCAATATGCGAATGCACTATGTTTATATATTGTCGATAAGGAAATCAAAAGATGTAGTGCTAGTACTGCCTCTGGCGGATCTTTGTTAAATCTTCAGAAGATTATTTTATTCTCTTTAGTTTTGTTAGTCAGCTTCACTTTTATTAAAAATTATCTCTTAGTAATTTACACATAAAAAGCTTACATTTCTAGGTCTTGGTGGAAAAATATTAAAAATGATCTGATATCATGATGGAAAATGTAGATTTTTAAAGCTTTCACGAACTCATACTGCGATGGAAAGGTATTGTTCTGTTGAATAATTCAACGTTATGTTAGAGAGATCTAGCTTAGTTGCGTATTTCTGCCTTTTTATTCCCAGTCTGCCTTTTGTTTGCCAATGTGCTACATGATATTAGAAACGAAAAATGTCCTACGATAAATATTATCATGAGATTAATTTGATTCCTATCGATATAGATTTGTCTTATATAAGGAAACATGTACATTGAGAAGAATTAACTTTGATTCCGATTAAGAATTAATTCAAAATGCGACTAAATAATCTAATTTATTTAAGAGGAGATCGGGGTGCCCCTCATCAGACCTACCTCGACCTCATCAGAGGCTGAACTGAGTAAGTGGCGCAAATCTGCTTGCATATTTGTGCCT